GCGAGGCAGTAGGCGCCGACATCGATGAGGTGTCCTATGCCGTTGGATTGGACAACCGCATTGGGTCTCGAATGCTCAAGGCATCGGTCGGCTTTGGTGGCTCCTGCTTCCGCAAAGACATCTTGTCTCTTGCATACATCGCAGAGTCCCTGAACCTGTTTGAGGTCGCCGCTTACTGGCGATCAGTAGTCGACATAAACGAGTACCAGAAGGACCGATTTACCCGCCGCATAGTGCGATGCCTGTACAATTCGCTTTCGAACAAGACGCTTGCTATTCTTGGCTTTGCATACAAGAAGGACACAGGAGACACTCGCGAGTCAGCAGCTATCACAGTCGTCAACAACCTACTTGCTGAAGGTGCCAACGTCAGGATCTACGACCCACAAGTCAAGGAATCGCAAATACTGCACGACATCGAGAGCAGTAACCCGAGTCCGCAGAGCATCAAAGGCAGACTCACGGTCTGTTCCTCGACTTACGAAGCGTGTACCGATGCCGACGCCGTGGTCATATTGACGGAGTGGGACGAGTTCAGCAACAAGCAGCCTACGAGAAGCGGGCATGTTCGCGGCGACTCAGTACACAACGGTGATGTGGATACAACGCGCAAGGAGATATCATGGAAGCGCGTTTCGCAGGTCATGCGCCGTCCAATGTACGTCTTTGATGGACGTAACGTCGTCGATCCTGTGCCTCTCGAAGCTCTGGGTTTCCGGTACGAAGGTGTTGGTAAATCGAGGGGGTTGTAATCGGTCTGAATGTTTCAATGTCGAGATATCCAATTTGCTTATTTACTTAATGAGGTGTAGAGTTAGTACCCAGGTTCGGCGTTGGTCAACCGCTGTTGCAGCAATAGACGGTAGGATGGTAGCTCTACCTAGGTAGTAATCAGCTTGCTATTCCGATACAGATCCTTCAAGATGTTCTCTTTCACGTCGTTTCAGCTGATTGACTTCTTCGACCGCGGCAGTAGTTTGTCAGTGCTGCGAACGTCGTTGGTGATGGGGCAAGGTTGTACGCGTCAACTGGTGAGATGTTGCCCCACCTCGCATCCATCGTGTTTTAGGTTAGCGCCGTACCTGGACGCCTGGACGCGCGCGCCCCCGGGGCTGCGCCTGGCAGGCGCCTTCCAGCCCAACACGCTTCGCACTTCTCTAAGGGATCAATCCTGCCCATGGGCACTGTAGCACGACTATCGCAACATTCTGACTCTTGATATGCCAATATCAACTCAACAAAAATTTGGGCATGCTCACTTTCAAGAGGGCTGCTGCCTAAGGGCGCGTGAATTGATCGCACGGGTTTCTTCGCGCGTCTGCTGTACGCGCCTTCAGCGAATGACTTTCTAGCAACCCATGTCGATGCATCACAAGTCGTCGCAGCCTTGCTGTGCCGCGCTCATGCGTAAATCAAGGTCTCTCTGGATGCCCCGCGGTGGATTCCTCGTCGCTGGGTGTTCCTTGCCCGTAGCTTCTTTGCCTTCAGTCAGCCCTCCCGTCCTCCCCGTCATGGAAGCCTTTGGCGTCGCTGCAAACATCATCTCGATCATTCACATCACAACAGAAGTTGTCAAGCGGCTTAACGATTTCAGAGCGACAACCGAGGGTCTGCCAAGGGCATTGAAGTCACTCAGCGTCGAGCTTCCAACGCTGATAAATTCTTTGAGGCGCATTCGGCAGGCTATTGACGATGGTAGGGTTTCTCAAGAAAGCCAGGAAGCGTTGGAACCACTTATCAAAGACTTCGAACTTCAAATTCAGGCTCTGTCGGATATCATATTCAAGATGCGCCCGCGGGTCAACTCAAATGCGTCTCGCAATCTCAAAGCCGTTACAAGCTTTCGTTATGACAGCGAAGTGAAGCACATAGAAGGTGTAATCAGAGGCTATGTGTCGACATTGACATTGGAGTCTGCTATCGCAGCTGATAACAGAGGTGGCGCAGGTATGTTGGCGTCGCCCATGATAGAACGTGGGCTTCATCGATCTAACAAACAACAACTTGCAGTTTCACAGCCACTTCTGACGCCGAGATTCATCTGTCCTTTTGGCAAGGATGTCGACTTCATCGAGAGATCTGTGCTTGCTGATCTCCTTGTTTTGAGGGGACCTGGATCGCGACATGCGCTTGTGGGAGCAGGCGGCATCGGGTACGTACACAACCACCCGGCTGAACTATCTACAGCCTTCGCATTCCCCGTTGCCCAGCACGGCAATTTGCAGCAGCTAAAATTGAGAACAGAAAGTCACAGATTGCAATTGAGTACGGTTACAGAGTCCAACGAGACTTTCCAAACACATGGGTTTTCTGGATCGATGCGGAGAATATTACGAAGATGGAAGAGAGCTATCGTGAGATTGCCAGAATTTTGCGCATCAATGGCGCAAGCGACAAGGACGCGGATGTCTTTGGTCTCGTCTACGATTGGCTGCGCAACGAAGCGAATGCAACATGGTTGATGATCATCGACAACGCGGACGACAAGGACGTCTTCAACCGTCTACCGCCGAAATACAAGGGATCCGACCAGTCCAAAGAGATACGAGAATTCATACCGCAATCTTCAAATGGCTCAGTCCTAGTCACGTCGAGAAGCCGAGACGCTGCTTTTCAGATCACCTGCAATTACAAAAACATAAAGCATGTGGAGCCAATGAGTGAAGCAGAGGCAATCGCGCTCCTACAAACGCATCTAGAAGATAGCCACGAAGATGAGGACAAGAGACTACTTGTTGAGACTGTCGACTACATCCCGCTCGCAATTACTCATGCGGCAGCTTATATCAGCAGACGGTCCTTACCAATACGCGACTATTTACAAGAGCTTAGCACGAAGGATGAGGAAGATTCAAACGCCTTAGAAGAGGATATTCCACAGCTACGTCGTAAGGCAGGGCGTTCCAACTCAATCGTCAAGACATGGAAAATCACATTCGAGTACGTCCGCAAGACCATGCCTTCGGCCTCTAGGCTCTTGTCGCTGATGTGTCTCTTTGATCGACAGGACATTCCGGAGGCGCTTCTCCAGGGGCAATACAGCGAAGTGATACTTTCGTCACGGAACATCCGCAAATCATGGTGGAAGCGACGGCCTCATACGCGCCGAAAGAAAATAGAGCAACAGTCGTTGTCTTGTCCTAAGAGCCTCCCTCGTGACTTTGAGGACGACTGGCTCGCTCTCAGGGATTTTAGCCTGATCAAGATGAACAGGGACAGGAGGCATTTCTCTATGCATCCGCTGGTGCAATTCACGACTAAAAGGTGGCTCGTTCAACATGATGAGCTCGATATCTGGAGTCAACACTTCATACGTATCCTCGATGATAGATTTCACGACTCAGATGACGGTGACTTCAAGAGATGCGAGCCTCTGATCGCACATGCATATGCTGCCATTCCGTACCGGCCATCGAATGCTGCCATACATCCCTTACGTGCATGGGCATCGCTTACCAGGAAGATTGCGCGTTACTACGACCAAAGAACCGGGCTTGAGATAGCGCAAGATCTTTACCGCGTTGCGGCTGAGGCTTTCGAAACTACAGGAGGTAAAAAGACACCCGAAGCACTCAAATGCCGTAAACTGCAAGCACTCCTACTTTTCCAGACAGACAGAAATGCGGAATCGGAAATTCTGTATCGCCATATCTTACGCTTGCAGCAGAAAGCTCTCGGCCATGGACATCTCGATACACTGGATACCATGGATCGCATAGGCGATGTATTATCTTTTCAACGCCGTCGTTCAGAAGCCGAAGCAATCCAAATGCAATCGCTCGAAGTCAGAGTCCGCAATTTTGGTCTTGCGCATCCCAGCACGCAAGAATCCCTTACCAAGCGCGGCTATTTTCTTCTAGCAGGAAGTCGCTATAATGAAGCCTACGTCACCTGGAAACAAGCCTCTGAAGCACGAAATGTAGCACGCGATACTAGCTGGGTCAAGGAATTGGATCTAATCGGGTTGAGATTGCAATTAGATGGTCGATCCGCCGACGCGGAGTATTATCTAAGAGAGTCGCTTTCAGAGAAAGAGCGTATGTTTGGCGAGGACAATGACTCCACAGTGCCCGAAGCTGCTGCAACACTGGCACGCATCTTACTTTCTCAAGAAAAGTACATCGAAGCAGAGGCCCTGCTACGTCGTGCACTTTCTTGGTACGATTCCAGCGAGTTTTACGATAATCCAGAGCGCTTCCAGACGATGAGTGACCTCGCCCATACAATCGCACATACGGACAAACTTGAAGAAGCAAAAGAACTGGCCATAGTTTGCCTTTCATGGCGAACTGAGAGCTTCGGCTCACATGGTCGCGAAACTCTGGAGATCATGTGGATACTAGCCGGAGTACTAGAGAAACAGGGGAGCTTTGTGCGGGCTTTGCAGAAGTATCGTGATACGTATGAAGGTGCGAGACAGACGCTGGGAGAAGCGCATGCGGATACAAAAGACTACAAGCGTGATTACGAGAAGCTTGAGCAGGCTATGTATCAGAAGAGCTCGGCGATATCAGACGAGAACTGGGATGCAGCGACGATAAACTCTGCATTCCATCTCAGTAACGAGAATACAGGTGCAGGGGCTCAGGAACCAGGTGCTGTGCTCTTCGACGTGACCGAATCTGAGAAAAAAGGATATGATGGCACTGTCATAGCAGCTCGATAACCATGGAGAGTATGCATATGCGGAATCAGCATCTCAACGAGTGCTCTATAGAAATCGGAGTGAATAGCAGAGTGAATGCTCAGTTGTTGTTATTACAAAATGTCCGCGCTGCGTCATTCACTGAGCTTTGCGACCCACCCCGTTGACATAATCCCACACTCACGCGCACTTCGCTATACAACATTGAAAATTCATGTCCTGCAGTCCGTATCCTTCTGACTGCGTGATACGAGCACGAGATCTTCAACATCGTCTCTTCCATTCTGCCGCTCCAAACCGCAATCGCATTTTCGCAACAGCGCTTCTCCACCCACTAGTATCACGCGACTAGAACATGGCCTTGCCTACACCGAAAATCGTACCCAAGGCCTCTGCGCTCTTCTTGCCGTACGAGATCGAACTCTACCAACGCTGGCGCAAGTCCGCCTTTGGTATCGCTGTTGAAAACGATGACGATGTCCTCCTACCCACCGCGTTTGAGTACATGGACTTCATGGAGTGGCGCGCCAGACAGTGCTCGAAACTCGACGGGACTCAAGAAGCGGAGAGGAAGTCTCCAGATCCATCATTTTCGGGATATGTATTAGCGGAGCGATGTGGACACCCTCTACATCCTGGAGATCCACGTCCAGATGCTCTAAGACAACCAAAGGACGAAATAGAGGAGGAAGGCGAGGAAGAAGGCGAGGAACAGGATACGATTGCTTGGTGTTCAATGTGTCTTTTGCAGATTCATCTCAAGCTGCTTGCCGAGTTATGGGATAAGTGGTTGAACTCCGGCGGCCCGTGGCGTGTCTTACGTCCCGGCTCCACAGCGGAAGGCTGGCAGATTGCCAAGCGAGCATACTATATGCGGAAGACCAACCTAGTCAACGTTGTCGATAACTTGGAGGATGTCGCGCGATTGGAAGATACCTGGGAGGCTGCGCATCCCGCTGCGGACGTGGAGGTCGTTCGTGCGTACAGCGCCAAGACGGCAGTGGATGTGTATGCGAAGGGTGTTCAGTTTCCTGCACGCGTAGCAGGACCGGATGAAGTAGCTCCCCGAACACCAACAGGCAAGGAACGAAAAAAGCGCCTCTCGTACTCACCAGACACACCGGAGGATACTCGTCATCGCTCTAGTGCCGCTTTCGCTCGACGCTGCCTTGCCTACGACCCTGAGTCACCCCATCGATGTCCTGAAGAGGATGGATGGGCTGAGACATCGTTCAAGAACAGCTGGGAGTACAATGTACGGCAATGTCGCACCCTGCTATGCAACAAATCGCCCAATGAACCCGACGTCACTTACCGCGAACTCGCCGACGAAGCTTCAAAAGATACCCTCATCAACGGCATCGAAGAGTGGCTCGGCAAAATGCAAGATGATTGGAAGCAGCCCTGGGTTGACATTTTGCTGGCTACAACCGAAATGTTTCTTGTCTGGCAAGATCCGCGTCACGACGATGATGCTGACACGGATTTCAACAACTGGGACAGGACTGAGACACTCGTGGGCACCAACCTAGAAGCTTATGCGCGGCAAATTGGCGATATCGACGAGGAGGATGAGACCGAGCTGGTACAAGCAGAGGTGACAGAGGACTTCTTCGACCAGGATTCCGTTGCGTCTGACTCCGACTCCGACTCAGATGAAGACGAAGACGAGCTCCCTGATCCGATGGATCTAGAAGAGGACGAGGAAGTAGCCATCAGTGTAGATGAATAGGAAACGCCAGCTCGGCTACACAGCGCAGACGCTGGAGCAGAATCCTTACCGATGCTTATCCAGTCGACATGTAAATTCTTCAGAGCAAAATGACAAGTAAGGAAATTATGAGATAATCAGCCTTGACATGTGGTAATAGGTATGCAAGACTACTTGTCTCGAACACAAGTCAGGTATCAACGCCCAATAAAATGATAAATTCGCCAAAACGTGCCCGGACTTTACATGACAATACAGCAAGAGTTTTGCTTCTTAGCCTGTGACTGTGTTAGCATGACCGAGCTTTTAGTTGCCAGCTCTTGAACACTCACCTGTGTGTAGAACATCTTGCTCGATGCACTCAGCTCATCACTCTTCTGAACTAGGTTGTCAATCTTCTCTCCTCGCTCCAACACACTCTCGATGGTCTTGTGTAGCACAATCTTGGTCTCGTCCAACTCTTTTTGGATCTTCATTATGCTGTCGGCCTGTTGTGGGTCTTGGTACTTGACGATGTAGTCTTTGAGCTCGGGGTAAGACATGTTGGCTGATTCGGTCGCGTTGGCGAAAGCGGAGCGCGGGTATTTGGAGAGGAACTCGTCGCAAACTTTGGAGAGAAGCTGGTGGGCTACGAGGGAGGGGTATTCGTGGTCGGTGATCATGAGACCGCACACGCCTTCGGAACGGCCGTAGGCGTGGAATGTGTAATCTGGACGCGCTCGATTAGCATATGTCTGCGCATGAAGCGGCTACGCTGATGAAGGACGTACCTGACTCCTCGACATCCTGTCTTTGCCCTGGTAGTGTCCTAGAAGCGACTGTCTTTGCTGTGAACGACATCTGGACTGCTATCAGCTTGTGTCCCTCGGTCCGTGTGACCTGCCACAACTCTGGCTGTGCGGTGAAGGTGACGTACGAACTCTCCGACGCTTCCCCGTGTGAAGCGGCCGAAGCTGGACAGATCGCGCTCGGCGCAAAGTTCGATCGCGGGTTTGGTCTCATTCTTGAGGATCTGTACATGGTTAGTACTCATCCGAGACTGGAAGCGGCGGTGAATGGGCTCCTACACCAATATAGAGGACCTTCATATTGGCGGCGGGTTTATTTTATTCGTGAGGAAGGTGAGTGGTGAGACTGGTAGGGCAAGGTTGTGTAGCTTGTATGCGCGTGGTAGGGTCGTGGAGAAAGGAAGCCTGGAGTCGTGGCCCGAGATAGCACTCCTGGCGCCAGCATGCGTCTCATGGTCGGCGGAACCAGCATGTGGCGCGCTGATTATGTCATGCCGCTAATGCGCGGGGGCGGGGCAGGTCCAGCCGAATCCAGGACACTCACCCATCATCGATTCTGCCAAGCCTGACCCAGAGGCAATCACGCTTTCCATCGTGAAGAGCGCTCCACCGAGCGCACCTGAATCAGATCGACCGCCAACGTTCGGAGAAGTTGTAATAATGTCGCCCTCCGTCGAGGACGCCCAGGCGCAATGGCTCGAGCAGCTCGATGCCATGCGCAAAGCCATCGCCGAACTCAATCTCCCTGCCGATACTGAGAAGGCGCCAGCCTACGGAGACGACCTCGATCTCGATGATGATGACTTCTCTGGAACCGTCAGCGGCGAAGATATCTGGGACATCATCAGCGACGAGTATGAAGAAGAGTTCAGCAGTGATCACCTCGACCAATTTCCCGATGGCCAAGTTGGTGGCGAGGCTTACAGCCAGCAATGGCTCGCAGAGAAATGCTCTTCAGTAGCCCAAAGTGGTTCCGGTCTGGATTCTGGAGCGTTGAAGGAGCAGATCACCGCGATCCTGTCAAGTGACAGCAATGGTGAGGCTTCATGCCAATACTCGATTACTGCAGCATACTAACTATGCACAGACGAAGAGCTACAGATGATGCTCGCAGACATTGTTGGCTACGGAGAGTTGGACCTTGTGGCCGAGCTCATATCGCATCGCAAGGACATCATGCGATCCTTGCATAACCCTACTCCCGCTCAAAGCAATGGTGCCATGGGCCGTTTACAGACCCGAGCCGAACGCGAAGAAGCGTTGCGCCGGGCGGATTGGGAGCACAAGACTGCCGCGTTGGCACCTTCTATGGACCGAACAGGTCCCCAGTATCCTCACGTTTATCGGACTCACGAAGCCGGCAACAAGCTCTCGGCTTATGGCAAGAAGTACGCGCTACCTCCAGATACTGAGCATCGCGACAACAACCTGTATGAAGAATACGAAATCCCCGCAGTTCCGGTAGGTACTGTCGGCGTCGGCCGAAGGCTTCTCGAGATCCAGGAACTGGACGGCCTCTGTCAGCGTACCTTCAAAGGCTACAAATCCCTTAATCGCATGCAGAGTCTGGTGTACCCAGTCGCCTACAAAACCAGTGAGAATATGCTGATCTGCGCACCTACTGGTGCTGGTAAAACAGATGCTGCCATGCTCACCATTCTCAACACCGTGGCCAAGAATGTTGTGCCGAACCCGATCGACGAGCCTGAGGCGACCGACTTTACAGTCATGATGGAAGACTTCAAGATCATCTATGTCGCACCCATGAAGGCGCTCGCTGCTGAGGTCACAGACAAGCTTGGAAAGCGCCTAGCGTGGTTGGGTATCAAGGCTCGCGAACTGACTGGTGATATGCACCTTACCAAAGCCGAAATTCTGGACACCCAGATCATAGTTACCACGCCAGAAAAGTGGGACGTGGTGACGAGAAAAAGCACTGGAGACACCGAGCTGGTACAGAAAGTACGTCTGCTCATTATCGATGAGGTTCACATGCTCCACGACGAGCGCGGCGCTGTATTGGAAAGCTTGGTAGCGCGTACTCAGCGACAAGTGGAGAGTACACAATCACTCATCCGGATTGTCGGTCTCTCTGCGACCTTACCCAACTATGTCGACGTAGCCGACTTTCTCCGAGTCAACAAGATGGCCGGTCTGTTCTACTTTGACGCTTCATTCCGTCCTGTACCTTTGGAGCAGCACTTCATCGGCGCCAAGGGCAAGCCAGGCACAGCGAAGTCACGTGAGAACGTGGAGAGAGTGGCTTATGATAAGGTCGTCGAAATGCTCAAACGGGGCCACCAGATCATGGTCTTTGTGCATTCGAGGAAAGACACCGTCAAAACAGCCAGGCGATTATACGACATGGCTATGGAAGAACAGTGCACCGATCTATTCGATCCGCAGGACCATCCTCGTTACGAAAATGCTGTACGCGATATGAAGCAGTCAAAGGGCCGAGAATTACGCGAGCTACTTGGAAAGGGCATGGGTACTCACCATGCTGGTATGCCTCGTTCTGACAGAAACCTGATCGAGCGCCTTTTCGCTGAGGGCGTTCTAAGAGTGCTCTGCTGTACAGCGACATTGGCTTGGGGGGTCAATTTACCCGCGGCAGCCGTCCTCATCAAGGGCACCCAAGTTTACAACGCACAAGAAGGTAAGTTCACCGACTTGGGCATCTTGGATGTTCTGCAAATTTTTGGTCGTGCCGGTCGACCCCAATTCCAGGATACAGGTATCGGCTTCATTTGTACGACACACGACAGGCTGGATCACTACATGCGCGCCGTAACTGAGCAACAGCCTATCGAATCCAGATTTTCCGCAAAGCTCATAGACAATCTCAATGCCGAGATATCACTTGGTACAGTGACTACTGTCTCTGAAGCTGTGACTTGGCTCGGTTACTCTTACCTCTTTGTACGGATGCAGAAGAGCCCGCTGATGTATGGCATTGAATGGAATGAGATACGCGACGACCCACAGCTTGTCGGGAGACGTCGAAAGCTTATCATCGATGCCGCACGAATCTTGCAGAGAAGTCAAATGATCATCTTCAACGAGACCACAGAAGACCTGCGAGCGAAAGATGTCGGGCGTATTGCGAGCCAGTACTACGTCCAGCAATCAAGTATAGAAATCTTCAACACAATGATGCGACCTCGTAGCACAGACGCGGATGCTCTGGCTATGGTCAGCATGAGTGGCGAGTTCGACCAGGTACAATCACGCGAATCCGAGGAGAAGGAGCTTTCAGCCCTCAAAGAAGAAGGGCATGTGATCACACAAGTCAAGGATGGGTATGCTACTTCGCATGGAAAGACAAACTATCTTCTCCAAGCTCACATCTCGCGAGCACGACTGGAAGATTTCACCCTGGTTTCAGACACGAACTATGTGACCCAGAATGCAGCACGTATCGCGCGTGCGCTATTCATGATTGCGCTTAATAGGCGCTGGGGTTACCAGTGTCAGGTACTGCTAAGTCTTTGCCAATCTATCGAACATCGATGCTGGTCTTTCCAGCACCCACTGCATCAATATGAGTTGCCGCAGCCAGTCTTGCGCGCGCTCGATCACAAATATCCGTCGATACAAACCCTGCGCGAAATGGATGCAACGGAGATCGGAGACCTAGTACATAACAAGAAGATGGGTGGCGTCATCTCAAAGCTCATGAACAACTTCCCAACCTTGAGCATTGAATCTGAGATCGCTCCGCTCAACAGAGATGTGCTCCGCATCCAGCTGTTCCTCACGCCCGACTTCGTCTGGAACGATCGTCACCATGGTACTTCCGAATCATTCTGGATCTGGGTCGAGAACTCGGAAACATCTGAGATTTACCATCACGAGTTTTTCATCCTGTCGCGCCGAAAGCTCTACGATGATCACGAACTGAACTTCACGATCCCACTTTCTGATCCTTTGCCTACGCAAGTATATGTTCGCGCCTTATCTGATCGATGGTTAGGCGCCGAGACTGTCCATCCCATATCCTTCCAACATCTCATTCGGCCGGACACAGAGAGTGTCTATACCGATCTGTTGAATCTTCAGCCTTTGCCGATCGCTGCTTTGAAGAACCCACTGTTGGAGGAAGTATACGCGCAGCGCTTCCAGTACTTCAACCCTATGCAATCGCAGATCTTCCATTGCCTATACCATACACCTGCCAATGTCTTGCTTGGATCGCCGACAGGTAGTGGCAAGACTGTTGCTGCGGAGCTCGCAATGTGGTGGGCGTTCCGTGAGAAGCCCGGCTCGAAGGTCGTATACATCGCCCCTATGAAAGCACTTGTTCGCGAGCGAGTTCAGGATTGGGGCAAGCGTTTAGCTGGGCCAATGGGCCTCAAGCTTGTTGAGTTGACTGGTGACAACACTCCGGACACACGCACAATTCGGGATGCCGATATTATCATTACAACGCCTGAGAAATGGGATGGTATCAGTCGTAGCTGGCAGACTCGTGGATACGTTCGGCAAGTCAGTCTAGTCATCATCGACGAAATTCATCTACTGGGCGGTGACCGTGGGCCAATTCTGGAGATCATTGTCTCTCGTATGAACTATATCGCATCACAGAAGAAAGACGGGTCAATCCGTCTTCTTGGCATGTCCACTGCTTGCGCTAATGCGTCCGATCTTGGAAACTGGCTTGGTGTCAAAGAAGGCTTGTTTAACTTCCGCCACTCTGTGCGTCCGGTACCGCTGGAAATCTTCATCGATGGCTTCCCGGAACAGCGAGGCTTTTGCCCGCTCATGCAATCGATGAACCGACCTACTTTCCTGGCAATCAAAGCTCACTCACCGGAAAAGCCAGTTATCGTCTTCGTAGCCTCCCGTAGACAGACGCGTTTGACGGCTCGCGATTTGATCAACTTTTGCGGCATGGAAGATAACCCAAGACGCTTCCTTCACATGTCTGAAGACGACTTGGCACTCAATCTCGACCGAGTAAAGGATGACTCATTACGCGAGGCACTGAGCTTTGGTATAGGCCTGCATCACGCCGGTCTTGTCGAGACTGATCGATCGCTCTCAGAAGAACTCTTCGCGAACAACAAGATTCAAATCCTAGTCGCCACTAGTACACTTGCATGGGGCGTGAACTTGCCAGCCCATCTTGTCGTAGTCAAGGGTACGCAGTTCTTCGATGCCAAAACAGAAGGGTACAAAGATATGGATCTCACGGATGTGCTGCAAATGCTGGGTCGTGCCGGACGTCCTCAGTTCGATGACTCTGGTATTGCGCGTATATTTACGCAAGACGCCAAGAAAGAGTTCTACAAGCATTTCCTGCATACTGGATTTCCCGTCGAATCGTCTCTGCACAAGGTGCTGGACAACCATTTGGGCGCCGAAATCTCTGCAGGTACTATTGCTACAAAACAAGACGCGCTCGATTACCTGACCTGGACTTTCTTCTTCCGCCGGTTGCATAAGAACCCGTCATTCTACGGATTAGAGATTTCAGCAGAGGAGCACAACACGATTGCCGCGCAGTCCTTGGCCAACGACTATATGGTCGAGCTGGTGGAGACCTCCCTCGGTGAACTGGACGAGTCCTCTTGCGCTATTGTCGAGCCTACAGGCGAAGTTGACCCAACACCACTCGGCAAGATTATGAGTTACTACTACCTCAGCCACAAAACAATTCGCTACCTTGTGAAGAATGTCAAGCGCGACGCAACCTTCGCCGACGCTCTATCATGGATCTCTCATGCCACCGAATACGACGAGCTGCCTGTTCGCCATAACGAAGACCTCATCAACGCCGAGCTTTCGAAAGCCCTTCCTATTTCCGCGGACGACTTCGGCCTACCCCTGTGGGACCCTCACGTCAAGTCATTCCTACTTCTACAGGCGCACTTCTCGCGGATCGACCTGCCAATATCCGATTATGTCGGTGATCTAAACAGTGTGTTGGATCAGAGTATCCGTATTGTACAGGCATCGATTGACGTACTCACTGAACTGGGTTACCTCTCTTCATGCGAGACAATGATCACGATCCTCCAAGCTATCAAGTCAGCGCGCTGGCCAAATGACGGGCCGTTATCGATCTTCCCAGGCGTGGAAGTTGAGAGTGAAAAGAAACGTCTCGAGCACCCTAAGGCCAGTCCGAAAGATCTCATTGAGACAACTACCGCATCGCCCGCGGTGCTTGAACGTGCAGCCAAGTTCGCTGGAGTCACACCTACTGGAATTAAGCGTTTCATCGAGCCAGTCTCTCGTTTGCCCGTACTGAAGCTCGACCTGGGCAACGTCAACGCGCTCGCCTTGGATTTCAAGATCTCACGCCAGAACCCGGCTAGAATGCAACAAGGCGGTATACGCATCTTCGCACCACGCTACCCCAAGCCGCAGACGGAAGGCTTCTTCGCTATTGTCTCGTACTCTAGTACCGACGAGATCATCGCTCTGAAGCGCATCAACTGGCCCGACCCCAGTAAGAATGGCAATCGCGGACGGGGTGGACGCGGCGGAAATGCATCTGGGGGCGCACAGTCGAGATTGCAGGCTTCAGCCAAGGTGTCATTGCCGCCTGAGGCACAGGGCAAGAAGGTCGACATCAGCGTGCTCAGTGATTCGTACCCCGGTATGAAATGGAAAATTGGGGGTATTGATGTACCTGAGGCGCCTATTGTGGACGCTTATGGAAAGGGGAAAGAAAAGGCGTAGTGTTGTAGGTCGCCCGCCAGGCCATGACAATTCAAAGTTCAAGTATATACAATTATGACGCCTGGATATAACAGTTGATATGATTCATAATAATAGTCACTGCACTGTCTCATCATTCTCTCTTTCCTCCCTCTCTCTTTCCTCTCTCTCTCTTTCCTCTCTCTCCCTTTCCTCTCTCTCTCTTTCCTCCCTCTCCATCCGATCAAGATCACTTTTATAGTCCACAACATCAACATGCTCCTCTCCCAACAAACGCCTCCCTTGTTCGTACGCCGTCTTATACAAGCGCATCGCATCTGCTCTTCTCCCGGCCTTTTCCACTGCAAATCCCAACGTCCACATACTCTCCACCGTCTCCTGATGTGTCCTGTCTAGATGCGTTTCCCTCGCTTCCAACGTCCTTGTTGCCACTTCCTCCGCTTCTTGTACAGCAGCAGGCGTGGCTTGACAAGCTAGACAAAATGCAAACTCGTTGGATATCTGCAACATCTCGGTACGACCCCCAGGGAGAAAGCGTGTGTATCCGTCCAGTGCTCGCCGGAAAGACGTTTCTGCGTCTTTATACTTGTGTTGAGCGACCAGCGCTCTCGCGATCCTGACAAGGGTATCGCACACCTTAATATCGTCGTGGGAGAGTGTGCTTTCTTTGTAGGTGAGCGCTTCGTTGAGGCGCTTCAAAGCTTCCTCAGGTCGGTCAAGCGTGTGAAGCTTTAGACCGAGAAGTTCAAGGTTATGGCACCACTCGGCATCATAGACGTTGGAAGGTGTATTACGATGCCTGAAGGCGCCTTTCCATGCTGTGTAGGCTGATTCGTAGTAACCTTCAGAGTGGAAAACGTATCCAAGTGCATCGGCGTGCTCTTGAATTGAGGCTGAGCTGAAGAAGCTAGGAAGCCAGTTCCAGGACATGGTATCTTTTGGCAATGATGCGCGAAGGGCAGCGCCACGATGAAGGGATGCGTGGGAATGGCTTGCAATGATGCTTTGAGGATGAAGAAAAAAGAGTCATAGAAATGGATCAGGCGTGTCAGAATAATGAATTATTGTCATTGACGATAGATGAGTGTCTTTCCGATTACTCACATGTGTGCTATCAAGTCCGCTGCTTCTCTTCACGTCCGCGCCGCGCGACATCTGCCAGCCTTTGTTGGAGACCTGTTTGTATGCTTTGCCTCTCTATCCTCCTCCCCAGACACAGTCCTTCGTGCCTCTACTTCTTATCTTGGGTATATGTACATGATTCGTAGCGATCGCTTCGTGTGAGGCTGTCTTTGGGTGGCCGCGTAGCGATGAGTGTATGAGGTAGATCGCTGTGGATCAGCTCAGTCGTCGCCAAAGACGATGAAGCTCGCTTCTTCCTCAATCTCGAAGTATGCGCAGTCACTGTCACTGAATTCGCTTTCGCAGTCAGAGTTGTCCTCGTCAGAGTCAACATCTTCCCAGTCACTGTCTCCATCATCCTCCTCGATCTCGCAGGTTGAGTCAAGGACGGCATGTGACTCCTCCGCCTCAGACCGCGAAGTAATGTTGCTTGACTCGTCTGTTGAGCCGACATGATGTATCTTTCCGTGAGAGTAGTCTTCCGAATCCTCTGAGACATCATCTTCTTGTTCCCCTTCCTCAACAACTGTGTGTTTCCCAGGCTCGTAACGCAGCGATCGCCTATGGAAGTACGGATTGGGTCGTCCGGGCTCAAAATCGGTGTCCGGAGCAAAGACAACTGCAGTCTGTTTGTTCGATCGAGGTCGCTTTTCTAAGCAACCCGTAGTCTCTGACCAGTATAGCTCCACGGCCTTCGCTGCGGTTCGCACGTCTTCGTGCGCGACCTCTGGATGCTGCGCAGACCATGAAGCTTCTTCTTCGGCCATGAGCTCAAGTCTCGATAGCTCCTTAAGTGTGCCGATCTTCCCCTTGCACCAGGCGCTGTAAACGGTGTGTTGGTGTTCTGAGCTGGTGAGTGTACAAGATGGCGCGCAACCGCCTGCGCTTTCGAGAGCCTCTGACAATACATTCATGTATCTGATGTGCAGGTCGATCATACAGACGGGACATCGTGATTGTAGCTGGCCGGCTGCTACAGGGTGCATAGGATGCTGACATATCGATGCGACTGGCGATTCGAAGGAGGATGACGTCTCCGCAGAACGTCCGTGGGTAATGTGACCGGAGATGTCGTCAAATGGGTCTGAGAAGTATCCAGAGTCTTGTCGTTTCAACCACTGGTGGAAGTCTTCGTATTCGCGTGCTGTGGGGATGTAGCCTTGCTCAGCTGGCCTAGTATTCGTGTGCAGACATTGCCATCGCTTGTACTGTTTCAGCTCGCGGGGCGGCATGATGACGCTCGCGGGTATCTTGGTGCAAGCCATGATGGCGTCGTGGATTGCGTGGTAAGGGCAGGTCCGTGACCTGCAGGTAGAGAGCAGGACTTGTGGTGTCGTAGACGTGTCGCGGGGCGATGGAGATTGAGTGCTGTTGCTGTGTATGCTAGGAGTGTTCACAGTCTCGTCCGACAGATGTAGTGCGTGTCCAGGTGGTCCCTGAGGAAAGTCACGGGTGCAGCACTACCACGGTTGAGCGGTTCGTTTGCGGGGAATGTGACCGCTGGTACCAGGGAAACTCTCGGTTGCGCAGATGTCTTTTGGGCGAGCCTCTGTTCGTTCACTGCTGCAAGCACGGTCGTGATGTTTGTGCGCGCGCTGTGAAGGGTGGAGGCGAAGATTGTTTCGGATCGGTTGGACGTCCTTTGTCACAAGTCGCAACTTGTGAGCGCGACTGTCGCTGCGTTTCCGCTTGAAACGCTCCCTCAAATTCTGACGTCTACGCCAGGAGGCTATAGGTGTATAGAGATGTTCGGAGTGGCAGTGTCGCGCTCAGACGCGGTGACCAGTGCGGACGTCGTCGCCCAACTTCGCGATCTTGGGGAGATTGGAGTACCAGAAAAAAGCCATGATTCTCGGGCAGATATAATCCATTCCTGTCGCTTTGCTGGGTGGAGTGGAAATTTCGCGATGTGTCGCGCGGGGGTTGCCGTCGACTTGGGCCGGCGTCGGGTGCGGATGTGGGGGAGGGCGGCTGCTGTGAAGAAGAAGGCGGGGCAGACGCGTCTGCTATGGATGACTTGTGAGGCGGCTCTCTGCTGGGCTTCACTGTCGATCGCGAGTAATATCGCGTCTTCAGTGTGGGTAGGGGCGTAGGGGCGTGTGGGTGTGAAAGGGTCAGCTTTCGTGGGCTGGGCTCGACACTATCGAATGGACGGTGCGGGCGTTTCGTCATGACCCCCTGACTCATTTGGTTCGCGCTAGTGCAGATTAGCGCATCATCCTGTCGCTGAGCTCCTCAGCCACACATACGCCACACCACCTCAGACTCACGAATAGCTTCATCACCAGACAAGACATAACTACCTAGGTATGGGATTCGCATACAAAACTACTGCAACAACGCCTATGGTATCAAATATTCCTAGGTCTAACTCAGCGGCCTCGCAGCCCTCGCTATGAAGCACTGAATCTGGCCCACCTCCTCGCTTGGTAGCTCAATCTCGAAGTTTCCCTGCAGCACCTCAAAGCGGAAACCGACCAACCCAGCCTCCCGCATCATCGATGCCATGTCACTTTCCTTCTGTTGCGTATGTTTCGCTTTGCCTGTCTCTTGCACAGCTTCGCTTACAACGTAGCTGTACAGATCCTGAACGAGAAGGACACCTCCGGGCTTCAGCCTCTGCCCTAAGATCCAGAGAGCGTCCTTTGCAGAGGGAAAATGGTGCAAAGCTGCGCCGACTGTGATGAGGTCGAAATTGCTATACTCTTCGCTGTCGAGCGAAGAAGGCTCGGTCGGGTCTGACAGCAAGTTGCCGACCGTGCCTGCAATATTTTCGCGTCCAAGGCCGAATGTGTCTATGTTGTTGATATACTTCTCAATCATGGTACGAGATACATCAACTGCGTGTATGGAAGATACGTATGGTCCGAATATCTGATTTACAATCAGCGAGGGACCTGCGTATTGTACGCAAGTGTACGAACTTTGCTCTGCAGGGAGGTACGAAGTCAGTATATGTCTCACATGCACTTCGTACAGCTAGAACTTACCATGAACCCGGGCCCGCACGCATAGTCCAGCATGTGCACTGCCTTGCCCGTTTCTGTGCCACCCGGAGGCTTAGCCCAGTCGATGCCTACTAAAGCGATCCTATCGACAAGTACACGAGCAATCTGTTGACGGCTGGCCTTGTTTATTGGGCGCTCTTCAAACCAGTCTGACACCTGCCTGACACGCTTTTAGCTGATGCATTACTGCAGCGTCTGCGGATGGTACAACTCACCCTGTGTCTTTCTCGTGGTGTGGAGCTGACATATTGCTCAAAGGTCTCGCGTCACAACGTGATGCTGCGCCTTGCTGTGTGCTCTGCGAAGCGTACTTATACAGGTCATATTCCACTGATTGCTCCATGAGGACCCCATTGGATTTGCACTGGTTTGCAATAAGTCTCCGGCTTCATAGTCGTCGGCGACTTTCAGAAGCACGCTCGGATACATGATGCCCTTAATGAGGCTACAGAAAAACATCCGGATAGAGACACAGCGTAATGTTGGAGCCTCGCTCCTCCTGTAACTGCTCTTATGTCCCACATTTCTTATTGTATCCGCTTTGGTGCGCAAATAATGTCGTACGTTGCTGATAGCATCCAAGTTGACAGGGTGAGCATCGCCAGGTCGGCTCTCCACCAGACGATCAAATCACACATGTTGTGCACCAACCGGTGAGCCAGGTCTACCATTGAGTCACCACACCTCGTGGTACTCAAACCTACCACGATGAGCTCAGCCCGAAATATGGTTCGAACGCGCAGTGCGGACTTTCCGAACAGCCGCAACGTTGTGTATCTGGGTACGTACACCTACCCAACCAGTCACAGCGGCCTTCATATTAGTAATTGGGCCTTCGCATATTGGCTTCCTCGGTGAGATTCATAGCGTCGCACATCGGTTGAGTGCATACTCCTCTACCCACTGCTACAATGCGACACCAGGTTATGGAGGTTGAGTTGCGGGGTTGCCGGACGCTCCCGCACGACGCTGCAATCTAGAGGAAGACCTCGCCGTCTGACCCACCACACCTGTATAACGAACGTACGATTTTGTCTCCTCCAGCTGACATATTCTCGGCTTTTCCGGGGCAAGCGAGATGGTATTATGCATGAATGGACCCAGCAGATCACGAACCTAATATTAGTTCTGCTTTCAGCCCGACCCTAGCTCAGGGCTGAACTTTGGCTGCTACCGAAAGCCACAAAGCTGCATCTCCGACGAGAAGGTTATATTCTCGCAATCGAAGCAGACGGACGCATATATCTTGCGATACAGATCTGTCGTGAGAGCAGTACTGTACAACTGTTTTCTTGTTGAATCTTTTGGGCTATGGAGTGCTTACGGTAGACATTCAGCAGCTGAAGAGAATCAAATGTTCGGCTCCATTGGCATCACTATGCGCGCGATCGAACCATAACTAGCATTCAACGAATGATAATGTGTTCGCTGAATGAATTCTGAATGCGGTGGTGCTGACAGCAAGCCTCACGAACCCCAATTGGTCCTTGTCATGACTAGGTACATGCTAACTGCTAACTGCTGTGCTTACTGTTGTGCGGTAGACATGCCCTAACCTATGTCCGGATGATCCACAAACCTAGAAGCACTCAGGCGCGCTCAGGTATGCATGCTACCCTGTCTTTACCCGTCAGCACTTCTCTTGCATTTTCTAGAGGCGCAGCCGCATTTGGAGCATGTCTCTTGCCCACCCGGGCAAGCTCAAAGCTAGTGAACTCGCTGTTCCGTCAAGATTCCGATCCACCCTTCATACCTAGTACCTTCTATCAGGCAAAATGGATCGACGTGAAGAATATCGCGAGGACATGAGCAGTCCCCGAAGCTATGCCGATAGCCAGTGGAGCCCACCTTCGCACTTCCAGGAACACAATCAGATATACCCAGTCGATGGTTCTTCACGACCCTACTCCAACTCGAACACCTCGCCAGCAGTCTCACCCCCACTACCATATGAACAAGAGTACCACCAGTCTCCACAGCCGCAGAACTATGAGGCATACAAAGAAGGGTAAGTCTGATCTCTCCCATTGTCTTTTCCAATGTAATCATCACACCGCACGGCCGCTTCTTGGCCCATAATCTTACGCTATAGCAGGTATTCGACAGAGAAAGAGACTCCGTATAGCACACTCGACCCAATAGGCACGCCTACTCCAGACTTCTCCGGACCTCAAGTGTATGTGCCCTGTACTAACTACTTGTGATACACACACTGACTTCATCCACGAATGTGCAGAGTGCCCGGCCAGTTCAGTCACTACCCTCATGGAGGCCGACCAATGTCACCTTCATCGCATGGAGGCACTACCATCACGTCTCCAAACATCCGGCCCTACGGTTTCAAAGAGCATGTCGACTCGTATGAGAGTTATCATGAACCTGCCCCTCCAGTGCCACCAAAAGACGATCGAAGATGTGGCATGAAGAAGCGCACTTTCTTCATCCTCATTGGTCTCGGTGTTCTTGCACTCATCGGTCTTGGCTTGGGACTCGGTCTGGGTTTGGGTCTAAGGAAGAAGGAGTCGTAAGTTTCAACAAGTGTACTTCTTCATGCACTCCTTACTCTAACGCAACGCAGACATAAGGACATTGTTCATCCTTTCTGTCGCGATAACCCAGAATCATGCATCGGCGGTTCTCTCAACGCCGAGTATATGTCGAAAAAGGGTGTATTCAGTGAGTACATATCTGTAAGGTGAATGTGAAATGCACACTAACCTTGTATCTACTTCCTCCCAGACGGCACTGGTATCGCTCTAGCTGGAGAGTCGTGGAATAAAGGCCAACGACGAATCTTCACGCTCTACTTCCAGCATCATACAGGCGACATCCGGTTCATGCAATACACCACAGACAGGCAATGGATCGGTGGAACCAAAGCTCAGACTGTGGCCAGTGATGCAAAGGACGCATCGCCCATATCCGCGGTCGCGTTTGCCATCAATGAAACCCAATTTGTGAGTACTCTGAAACTGACTTTGACCCCTTCTTAGTCTTCTTCTCGAGTAGATGTACTAACTACGAGTAGTTCCACATCTTCTACATTGACAAGAACAACACAGTCAAGCAACTGACGCAAACCAACGTCACCGACATCTGGGAGCCCGGACCACTCAGCGACCTCAACCTCAAAGCATTCGACTCGCCGACCACTGGGCTGCAGGCGTGCTGGAAGGGTGACTTCTATGGTGACACTGACTTTACAGAATTCCCCACCGCTTCTGGTCTAAATAACACAGTCCCATTTACAGGACGAAAGGGCATGGTAAGTTCCATGTTTGTAGAGTGCCTTGAGTAGATACGCTGACACCATCATCATTAAAACAGAACATCTGGTACGCCATCGACGAATCGACGTTTCAGCAATATGCTTGGTACAGTGGCCAAGCGGAGGAAACGTGGATCGCGACCGATAAATGGTCCGGTTTCAATGGCCACGGTGGCGTCGGCTGCTACAGCTGGGGCGCCGGCTCGACATCCTACGCCATGCTAAACAACAAGGACAACGACGTCGAGTTCTGGTGGAAAGACACGAATGAAAACCTCACGTCCACAGAAATCCATCCCATCAACTCGTGGCAAAACGCCACCATGGGCACCATACAGGACGTGTATCCCATCACGTCGCTGGGCTACACAACATACTTTTACGCACAAATGGCGGATCGAAGTATCAGAGGATATAACGTTACGTACCAAGCCGAGAATACGACGTTCTTCGCAAACGAGACGTTTGCTATTACTAATCCCGCTGGCCCAGTGCTTGGGCTTGGGGGTACACATCTCACTGTCACTGCATTTGCTGAGAAGCGTGGGGAGGAGACGGTGTGGGACAGCCTGTATGTCTTTTATCAGACGGAAGGCGATGATATTACGGCGTTCACGCGAGGTATGCTGGGCTTGCCTCCTGATTCAATGCTGCAGTCTTGCTAATACATCCTAGGATTGGAAGGCGGTGAGTGGAATCAGGGACCCTTGCAGATTCCCGATGAATAGGTATGGAGTGGGAGAGCAGGATTGATGACTTTCGCTTCATGTCAGATTACTGGGCTTGTCATTTTCGCAGTCACCGCGACGGCTAGTCCTGGGCGTTTGCGCTGGCGTAACGGCGGGTACAAATATTCTATGTCATGATTTTACGAGCTTCACGACAGAGCGTCCGTGGTCTCTGGAGTTTCCCCTTTGGAAATGCCGTCCTATTATGCAAGTCGTTTCCATTATCCATGTACACAGCAATGTGAGCCCACAGAAGGACGCGGTATTTGTATTGTTGTGGCCTGTCTGAACACCCTCGTTGCGACTGTCAAGGGTGAAACTAGCTCTTGTCCTTCCAAGCACCAGCGTTATAACCAGCAGTAGGCAGTTTTCCTGGAAACGAGTATGGTAAGCGACGGAGCCATTGACAGCGGGCGGATGGTGGTCTCGTCGGGAAGCGAGCGCGTCCATCAATCCTTGAGGCGCGTACCTGCAATGTCTTCCTGAGCGTCTCTGATGAGGAAGCTGGAAAGCCGTTAGCCCATATTATCGAAAAGACGTTGACATATGTGATCAACTCACTTGTACCACAAAACGGTCGGCAAAACCGTACCCAGATGCCACAGGCTGTGCGCATCCACCATGCCCATCCAAGGCGGGAAGTCCAACAGCTCCAGGCTCATAGCCAAGATGATCCAGGCAACACACAGACCAGGCCAGACAGCCCAAGTCCTCCCAATCTTCTGATACTGAACGTAACTGAAGCCGCTCCAAAGCAGGTTGGACACGATACCAACAGCGACATTGGCAGCCATGTTGTACGTGTAATCCCAGGACCAGAGCGAGAGGTACAAGACATGCAACGTATACAACGTAATACACAGTCCTGTCCAGAGCCTCAGCAAGCTCTGTTTCCTCGGCTCCTTCCTGTCGAGTCGGAACACTCTGATGGGCGCATAGTACAGCCCGTACAGAACATTCGCGCCCGCAGCGAAGTAGTCCAGCTTCTCCGTGACCCCAAAGTCTCTGGTGTGGAATATCATGCTGAACGTCCAGCTCGCCAGGCCCACGTAGCCAAACCACAAGTAGTATTTCCGCAGCGGGTACGACGCGGGTATCTTGTCGCGGAGCTGCGACATGCCCCAGTCGTGCGCGAGGTAGTTGAAGAGGGAGAAGATGACGCTAAACGGCTCTTGCATGCCCATGAAGCGGTAGAAGGGCCATTTGCCATGGAATTGGTAGATGGGCTGCATGTAGGGAGGGTCGCGCGCGAGGCGTTGGGTGGTTATGATGTGCTGACACGTGTAGTCGCATTCTGAGGGACAGTCCCAGAGGAGCAGGCGGCGGTGGAAGGCTGCGCGTGTGAGTAGGCGTGGAGGAGGGTGAATGGGGTGGGCATACGTATTGACGTGCCATCTGGACCGCAATTGGCTTCTTTACACACCTGTAGATGAGCAGTTAGTTATATGTCTCAAGTCGGTGCAGGCGCATTCTCTTTGCTCATGTCTCCAGCCAAAGCGCAACTCCGACTACACGTACCTGAACACAGTCCTTGAAATCGGGCAGTCTGTCACCCAATGAAGCCTGGGCTGCTCCGCCCAGCAGAAGCAGAACGGCGAGGGTGTGCCATACAGAGGCTATTCGTAGCTTCATGGTTCACCGATGTGGAGGGGTGCGGCTGCCATGTGGTTTCGTCTCGTGTTCTCAAGTCGCGTGTCTGCGATGGATCGACAGGGTCTTGGCGGGCCGGTAACTCCGTCGTTTCCCCTGGCACGTGTGATGGAACGACGACGACGACGAATTTCGCAGTGTAGACATTACGCGCAATGATATTGTCTATCAGAGTTTCCTGGGATGTCCTCTTGACGGGATAGAAGTCAAAAGGTGAGCTGTGGTCTACATTCGAATGAGAGCAAAGGTTAACAAGATCGAAGCGATATAAACTTCTAAAGTCATATAAAATCTATTCCTTTATCCGCAATAGATCATTCCATGTCTTTTGAAAGGTGCTATCGCGTCGTCCTTCAACGTTCAAGATCTCTATTGACTAGATCGACTGTGTATAAACATGGTTCGGCCAACAATCGGATACCATTCGGTTTCCCCATTCCAACAGCCCCACCTTTGGGCTACCGGTTAGAAGAGGAGTTGTTCGTTTGGTTGGTCTATCCTAAGGTGAGGGGCTCATCCCCGCTTTCACCCAACATTGGATACGCTCTAATTTCACAAATCTCCATCAACACCAGTCTTCAAGACTCCAGGGCGTGTGGCTCAGTGGTAGAGCGTTAGTAACCACCCTGTACACTCTTATATGCCTAAAACTGACCGTAATAAGGTCCGCTTTGCATCGGATTTTCGCGCTAGTCCTAGTGCAGAAGACCTGACAACAATTGCGGAAGGTCCGGGTTTCGGTAAGACAGTGAAGTGAACGAGTTCGAGCCCAGTTGCTAACAAAGTCGGTAGATCACCCGCCCGTCCATCTCTTTTTGCCCCTGCAGACGTCTAGCACCTAGAATACCTCTATTCGAGTGTCCAGCTTTTTATTATTCTTAGTTAATTAGACAATTTTTGCTCGCAAGATATACCGCCCAAAGAGAGAGGCGGATAGTGCTGCTCAACGACGCTACCTTTACCATATTAACTCATCTCAGAGACGCAAGAAGCAGCGTGTAGGGTTATTTATTAGCTGCTTTTAAACTTAAGATAAACGGGCTAAGATACACACAGCACGTAAAGCCCGAGAGTTGACATATTGTCGCATGCTTTGAACACTTTCGCAGAAGATACGAAAGACTCCTTGTCACATTATCGCCCTCACTCTACTCCCTCCGGAGTATCTAATTCGCTATGCAAAGCCATGTTGATGAAGGTGTTTCAACACACTACTCAACACACCCGATGCAGCACAATTGTACCAAGGCAAATTTCCACTTCATCGCCTTACATTTAGGCACTTTAACACCCTCGAAGGATGGATGGCTATACAAAGTCAAATCCAAGTGTGTTGGGAACTGTCAGGACTGCGATCATATACATTTTATTTACACATCCATCAACCACCAATGTCAAAGACTACGCGGCCAAACATGATGTGCTTTTTGCGTACTTTTCATTCCTGCATTCGCTCTCATGATCTAGCTGAAAAGCATTCGCATTACCACGGAGCTACCAAAGGTGTAGTCCGACAAAACCGTATTCGCCGCCCATGACCCTACGTTGCCTCCTAGAAGACGAGGTATCTACGTCTAAGCCTGGATCGCACGTCCCAAAGCACCGCCGGTGAACTGTTGATTCCTTCCACCCCGTGGTCCACCTCCGCCGCGACCACCACCACCACGGCCGCCTCCTCGGCCACCACGACCGCCACGTCCACCTTGCCTCTCAAAGGCGTTGGCGGTTCCTTGTGTGCGTTGCTCCAGTGTCTTCTCGTTCGATTCGATGAGACCGGATGCCTTGTCTGACAGGCTGAGCGCGAGGGTCTGTAGTCTTGACAGCTCAACACCCTTCCTGAAGATGATGGCGGAGTTGACTTGGTCGAGAGCGGCAGCGAGCTCCTCGTGTGAAATCATCTTGGAGACGACTGCGGAGACCTTGCGCTCCGACAGCTCGAACATACCCGCCAGTGTGGTGATGGAGAGCGTGTCGTAGAAAGGTGCGTATGTGAAGAGATATGTCCGGAGACCCTCTTCCTGGATTTGCGAGGAAAGCATCTCCTTAATTTTCTCCGAGTCGGCCATGAGCTCCCAGATCTTGATCGAGTTGATGAACTCCGCTGCCTTCTTCCATTCACCAGCAGACAGTGCCTTGGACGCCTGCATGACGTGATCACGCGTGTTCTCAGGAGGACCAGTGAAGATCTGGCGCTCATGGTACTCTAAGAGACGGCGGTAGGTCTTGCTGATGACTCGCTTCCTCAGGTCGGGCGAGGAGCCAAGCTGTGCGAGAAGAGGAATCTCAAGCAACATGGAGCAGGTCAGGTAGACGCACTCTAGCAGCTCAAGGTTGATGTGCATGTGGAAAGGAAGTTGCCGTTGACGCTCGAGACGCTCTTGCTCGGGCGAGATCTGGGAGTATCGCTGCATCTGCAGACCTTGTGCAAGCAGCTCCTTCTGCCTGTTGCTACCGCAGATCTCCTGCAGCGAGGTTTGTGCCTCGTAGACGAGACCGGCACGGAACGCGCAGAGACCGACTTGGACCAGCGCGCGGTTGAAGAGAATCTGTGTGTTGACGTCAAAGTTGCTAATGGTCTCTTGCAAATGCGACATGAGCATCATGTCGCGAGCCTTGTAGTACTGGTCGTGCAGAGACAGGAAGTAGATCTGGCACAGCATGGCGCGAGCGCGGATGATGCCCTCACTGTTCTGGAAGAGGTATGTGCAAAGAGTTTGTACGAGGGAGGCGGTGTCGTTGGAGATGGCGCGGGGGGTGATCTCGGAGTCAAGGCTCTCTGGGATGGCCTTCCAAACGTTGTTCTCGAGGATAGTGATAACTTGGGAGGGCTATGGACGTTAGCATAGAAAGCAGAAAACGGCATGTTTCTTACCTTGAAGTAGACGTGTTCCAATCTCCGCATAACGATGCGGTTCAATGGCTCTTGTGGAAGTTCTAGGCTTGGGTTCTTCTTCATGCTCTCAACGTATACCAGGGTGCGCACCAGCTGAGCGTACAGCAGAGCCTCGTCGGTCAACCGTTCAATGTACTCGGAAGTGTGTGGGTCGATGTGCTGCAGCGAGCGGGTGAGCTCGTCGTCGAGCCTCTCAACGAAAGAGACGACGCTTCCTGGGATGCGGAAGATCTCGCCGGGTGTGATGGTGGGCAGCTTCTCGTCGTCCTCCCACTCCTCGGCGTTCTCGATGACAACAATCTCGTTGCTGTTCTCAAGAATCTCAAGGAGCTTTCCGAATTCCTGGTCGGCCCTGCGTTGTGTTAGCAAATGGCGAACATGTCAGGCCAAAGGTACTCACAGCTTCCACTGATCTTGGTGCATGTGGCTGGCAGTACCAGACGTCAAATCGAAGCGCGTCGAGATGAGCGTCAAAAGAACGCGGACCTTTTGGTAGTCGTTGACGGCGACGTCGAACAACTTCTCCAGTGTCCGGATGTGCTCCAGCTTGTCCGAATTCTTGCGACCACGCTGCTCGACAATGGCGCGCAAGTGCTTGAGAATACCCTCAGCCGTGTACAGGACAGCCTTGCCACCAGCTCCGACTGTGATGAAGCCGTCGTCAGTGGCCTCCTCAACGACCTCGGTGCCGAGTTGAGGGATCTTGTTCTTCTTCTTCTTTTCCTTGGGTGCTTGAACGACTTCCTCCTCCTCGCGCATGAAGTCCTCCTTGTTCTCCCGGTAGGCGTTGATGTCCTTCTCAAAGTCGCGGTTGTGCTTCTTGATCTTCTGGCGGACAGCGTTGAAACCGCGGCCGTTGACAGCGTTCATCTTCTTGGGAGTGACCTTCTGCTTCTCGTGGGTCTCGAGGACAACCGTCTCGAGGTCGGCAACGGCCTGGATGTACAGCTTGGGGACCTTGCCATCGTTCTGCTTGGTCAGAGTAGGCACCTGGCGGATGAGCTTGTCGAACTCTGTATAACGCATGTCAGCACTGTTTGTGTACCCCGCCACCATGTTCTATGCCATGCCCAGAGCCACTTCGGAATTGGACGTACGTTCGGAAATGACAGCCCAGTCGTTGATCTTCTGCGCGTTCTCAATGAGTCGGATGGTCGCCTCGAGCTCGTCGAAGCGCTTGTCCTTGGCACTCTTCAGCACCTTGTTCACATCCTCGTCGTCGCTGTCGCTGTCGCTCGAGGCGTCCTTCAAGAAGCGGTTGGCTCCGGTTTCGGATCCAGAGTCGGACGAGTCGTCGTCATCGGATTCCTCGTCGGAGTCCTTGTCGCTGTCTTCCTGCTCAGACTCCTCGTCGTTGGAGTAGAGCTCCTCCTCGCTGGACTCGTCCGAGGAGCTGTCGCTGGCGGCAAAGAATCGCGACGCCATGGTTGCAGTGCTCGAGAGTAGGGATTTGCCGGAGGGGTCGAGGGTAATATGTGTGGCGGGCGCCGTGTGGGTTGACCAGAGTCACTGCCGCCTTGGTTGAACTTTCCGGAGCCGAATTTCGAGCCAGCGCCAAGCCATGACTGTGTGCCCCGCGCCTAACCCTAAGCAGACGCGAACGCCTTCACCACCATACTAGGACAATCACTCTAACCATGCAAGTCTGCACCGCGTCCAAAGCGTTGGTATTCGACGTTCATTGCTTGC